ACATACTTTTTAAAGGGACTCTAATATCAAATTCTGATGAACGATTGTTATAAATGTACGTTCGAACTAACTATGCTGTTGTTAAGGTCATTATTATCACATTATTAAACCACCAAGATTTTTAGTTTGCTGGATGCAAATCATTTCTCTTACGTCGCAGAGAAATTTGATAACTTCTAAAGAAATAGTAGTAACAATTTAACATCGCTTCATAAATTATTACAGAAAATAAAATTTTACAAAAAATTGTATTGAAAGAAGTAAACTTGAAAAATATTAATAGGGGCATAAGAATTATTAGCTTCATTTAAATAGATAAAATGTGTAACTAACGTTTAAACTACGAACTCCCTTTTACATATAAAAGTAGCGAAAACGAATAGTTTCTTAGTTTTTTTTAAATTTCAGGGTGTAGCAACTTGAATGCAGAAGATCATAGAATTTATCGCGATTGCATGTTTCTCCACGTAAACTAAAACTAGTGTTATCGGGAGATAGTGGATTTCCTATAAAATTCTGTAGGTCTTAAAGTCTTGGAACACACGATCGATTAGCATTAGAATCAGTTTCTGTGTCATTAAAAAAAATTCATTAAAAGCAATATAAATGATTGCAAATTTAGAAAAATAATAAGGAGTAAAGAATACAAATGTTTTGTTTGTTTATAGCCTTTCATTTTTTGCCATTATTATTATATCTACATATGACTTAAAGTAATTCTTGTATTCAATTATGTGATATGTGTAATATTTGAATCTAATATGTTAAACAGGTAACAATATCACATTGAATGTATTATTTCACTAGAATAATATGTATCAGCATGCAAATCCGCACTATGTAAATTCTTTTTTTAACAAAGAATTAAATTGGAACCATTATTTGCAAACATCAGGAAAAATTGTATTCCGCACTTCCAGCTTGGTAATCATTAATACGTAAATGAGTCCATGACATGTTACTTATGCACAAACGTATACAGCCTTTTATTCGAATAAAAAATTACTCCTCATTCATGAATGACTATCAGTTGCACTGGTATACACATAAAAAAATTGCTTGTCTAATGTTCAACTTTGATGCAAATGCAAGAATAAATGCGTATCCAAGTTTTTGTTACGTAAGTGCACAGTTTAATTTTACAGTGTATGTACTTCAATTATTCACGAGTAGTATTTTTTCTCGACTATGACCCCTAGTCATGAATAATATGCATTATAAAAATTCTTATCGTCGGCGGAATCGCGCTTAAAAAAAGCTGATGCACGATATCTTATCGCGCATTGAACAAAGTAACAAAACACATGCTAGTCACGGGCACGAGTTGTGCGATGTATGGATCGATAACTACTTGCATCTCGTATACATAAATGTCAAAGCCTGCTTGCATATTAAACATTGCAAAATTACATTCAGACTGCACGATTTCTTAATTTTAACAAACGCGTGCTACCTTATACATATATTGAAGATTCTAGAGTCTAGAGCCTCATGTGAATACATGTCGCGACTATCAGGTCAAATGTAAATTCAACAGTTATCACTTGAATAATCACTTGAAATCATTTAATTTTTGTACAGCATAATGTAAATTACACCTACATTTAAAATGTTTCTCGTTCAAAAGTTATGCAGACATTCGCGCCTGGAACATGATTCTGGATAGACGTTTTAGCAATAAAAATAACACAGGGATATTTCTATTTTTTACAAACATTTACTTGTGTTTTCAAAAAGTACAGAAAGAAGTTCTGAATAAATGTAACCATCATTCTTAACATAAAATTACAAAAATTACTTTCGATTCAATGATAAACTTGTTAAAAATAGTCTTAAACTCAAACAAACTGCCAAGTGTATGAAAAGTAGATCCTGATTAGTTCACAAATCATTTAAAAATGAATTTCTTTGCTTCATTAAATAAACGTATCCGTTCATTTCGCAAACATAGATGAAGTTACCTTCTAAGTACTTAATGATGAATTAATTTTTAAACTTCGTGAAATGACGATCGAATATTGAATCGCAAGGATTCGATTTTATCGCAGCTGTTCCGACTCACATTCTTTTTTCGTTCGTTTTTATAATCACCATACATACTTCGAACAAACTTCTCGTGCATTCCACATGCAATGCATCGTAATCGTCATTCGAAACGTAACAGACAAGTACAAAGAGAGAAATGATAATAAAGAAAAAGAAACTTCCGGTTGGTTCGCATAAAATAGCATTGGTTATACGAAACGTACAATTTCCAAAACCTTCGAACGCGATGTCAAAAATGTTAATTCCGAAAAATTCTTATTTCGCGAAGATACCTTGAAAATATAAAAGGCTTTAATCCGCATCTATCCGGACGAAAGAAAGCAACCTTTCTCACGGTCGACCAAGGCCCACGGAGTGAACTGTATCTTCATCGCCACAACAATGTATCTCTTGTATTTTAATACACTCTCCGCCTCGTAAAACGAAAACCTCCCCCGGGAATAGCGACCACGCGTATCGTTATCTCGCGGTTCGATACGTCATACTACACCTAAGCAACGCTAAACCGATCTCGCCTAATTGCACGCAAACCGGCAACGAAGTTGTCTTTTTATCGACACTGCTCGCTGCTGCCTCCTCCTCCTCGTCCATCCCTCCCCCTCCTTTCTTTCTGCAACATCAGACCGTATCGAGCAATTTCGAGCGAAACGCGAGTCGAAGGCCTTCCCGGGCCACGTTTTAATTCTTTTTTTCAGCGGCGAGTCTTCACCGTGAAGACCGAACTCTTTATTGGAGATCGTGCTCGCCGACAAGAAATAACGTTGCACGCCCGTCGATGATCGGTTCGGCAAGTTCTCGTGTTTCGACGACACGACCGTGGTCAATCGAGATTTTTCTTTTTGTTGCACGCTTTCATTGGCGTTGAGTAAGAGTTTAAGCGACGGGAACCGAAGGAAGCCATGCAACTTCTTAATGCAACGATATTTGTTCATTTAAATTCTCCTTTAATGATATTTGTTCATTTAAATTCTTCCGTTCATTAACACTTTCGGTGCTGTAATACTTTTGACGAATGAGTCGCGTGTGCGCGGAATACTCTACTGTTGATGGCACTACTATTATTCATGGAACGTGTATACACGCTCATAACATTGAAAGGGTTAAAACTTAACCCAGACCGAGTAGCCGGGAGCTATTAGACTGGTGTGGGAAGCTGGAAAGTTTTAATTTCGTAACAGCAATAACTGATCTACTTAGATTCTATATATGTATGCCTGATTTAGTTGGTTGCGCCGAAGGTCTACATGTCAGCTAATAAATTATACTCTTTTTGTGGGTGAATTGATAAGACCCACGGTTTTAACAGACTTGAGCAAAAATTCTAAAAAATAATGGATCGTTTAACACGTTAAGCGCTATTTGTATCTAGATGAATACAATACATTCTGTCCTAATGTGCCCCTGGATTAGTTTGGATACTGTGTTCTTCATTCAGATACGGCTTTTTTTATGCAGTGGTCAAAACATAATTTTTTTTACCTGATGTCGCTTAAGGTGTTAAATCATTCTATTGCTTTTATCTTAAAAATAACTTGAAAAAGAAATTTTATTTTATGTCTGGATAAAAAATAAATTTTACACATGTACATCCGAGATATAAAATACTATATAAGAATTATGATTGTGTTACAATGTAGTAACATTTTCTCTAGCAACACATTCGGCATTACAAAATGTCTAAAAGAACCACATTGTGGGGATGCTACCATTCCACACCATCCATTATACATACATGTAGGAGTCGATGATAACAACATTATATTATATTTTAATAATTGTCAAATAGATTTAACAAATCTTGAAGATATCTTGATACTTTATAGTCTAAAATGTTCATACTATAATAAGCTTCTTTTCAAGTGTTTATTGCACATTACTTCTACCAAGGATTCAATGTCTCCCGAATTGTTTCATTTCAAGGTACCATAAAATTAGAACTTCCAATTCATCGTCTGTTTATGATTCAGAATAAACATTGTTTTGTTAGACGACAAATTCGAAATTAGACATTCATTCAAATACAGCGTAATAAGAATTAGTTCAAAGAGAATCGTCTAAAAAAAAATCGAATCAAGTAAGATAATTTTTATTTGAATAATTATTTTGAAAATATTCTAACAATTCCTAATTATAGTCATTAGAGTACTGATTACCGATTACTAAAGCGAATGGAATACGTCTTTTATTCTTGGAACCGTGATATTGCGACAATGTAAAAAGCTGTTGCGACGATGCAGTTAACACGATACATTTTCATACGCACGCGTATTTGATGACCGTGAATGGGACAATGAAAAATTCATACATGCGACTAATATTCGCGTGAACTAATTATACACGTGTCTATTATCACGAACGTTCTCGCGATAGTTCATTCGAATCATATGATAGAGACAAAGATGTCGAAATCTATTCACAAGTAAAATATGTACATGTATGAAATAGCGCAAGTATTCTTCTGCACGAATATGAATATATTTATAGCAATCGTAAAAAACAAAAAACGATTTTGATGCAAACATTATCGTTACGTAAAAAGCTGCACCAAAAAGTTGTAAACATTTACTATTACCGTCATGGCAAAATAACTACCATAAATCTTTGAAATGCTGGAAGGTGCAAGAATGCATCGTAAAAGAATCACTCGAACAATCGATTCCTCATTGTTCAATGATACCATTCGACTTCTATTCGAATATCCGAACCTTCCAATAAAACAAGACGTAACTGATGCGCGTATCATTCGTAGTAAAGTCATTACCGATGCGAATGATACTCGAGCGTTACATATGAAAAGTATGTAGACACTTCTCCTCGGAAACTGAATACAGAACATGACCAATAAGGCGTGGAGGTAAATAAACTGACACGAAGTTCGTAGCCGTTTCGAGACACGACACAACCGCGACGCTCCGTAACAGCAAAAAAAGGTAGAATATACAAGCGGTTTTTACCTAATACTAGGAGAGCAAGATGTTCTTCCTTATCAGATGGGTCGATGCAGTTGTAGAGTTCGTTCCAATGATCAGCCAGAGCCACACGTAACCGTTAATCGTGGTTATTAGACCACAATTTTCGCAAGAAAACACACCATTACACTATATCGAAGCTTTCCACGTCCGTCTGATTACAGTTTTCTTTTCGCGAAATTATCGCGTTATGCGCGCCTCAGTTGAATATAATATTAGTTCGTACCACGCGACGAGTCGCAACCTCGTGTCGAATTTGCGCGCGACAGGGAGGCGCGCGCGCATACAATTCAACGTGTTTACATTGGTCCCCTGCTTCTTTTCTTCACGTGCACATCACAATTAACTCACTCGAGTGTTGAAACGCTGCTAACAGTCACCGTTTCAAAGAAGCGATCTGTCCTTCTTCTTCTTTTAGTTCGTATTTGAGTCCTCTGATGGTCATTACTTCGTAACTATTTATCCCTTCTGTCCGTTCTGTTTCTCGTCGATCGCGAACCGTTAAAAGAACAAGATTGAGGTGAAAATCACGGACTCACTGAACTCCTACGTAATTGGCCTGGAACCCGACCGACGACGTCGAGAACTCTACACAAGTAACAAGATCTCGAATCTAGTTCCAGCAAAAAGCATAACAGTCGTGTGGTTGAGGCAGAGCACGGCGTGCACTTTTCGCACACGCGCACTACAATTGTCTCTTCTCCCCCGTCAGTCTTCCCGTCGGGATCCCACGTGTCACTCTAGTCCCCTCCTACTCTTCGTTTTCCCCCTCTTGCACCACGGAACTACAATTCCATCCATCGAAAATCGTCAACGCACGTTTGTAACCGTGGTGTGTCTCCTTTTGCCATCAGTAGAATTTTCCATCGATTTCACTGGGACTCCACTAATACGTTTATCGAAAAAACGTTAACGGGCACGTTCTTCGTGTTGGCCACCTCTCTCTCAGCCGAAAAAGTCTTTCGTCGCGCGCGAGACAAGGCAAGGGGTCACGAGAGATAACATGTGCTGCAGCTTGGTGAACAAAATAGCGTCGAGATCTCTGCTACCGCAGCAGCAGTCTCATCAAAGGTATAACCGAACGAGGTCGTGCGGGAGATGGATATAAAAGAATCTAGACGGTGAAACGTGGAAAAGCGCGACACCGAAGATTCGTTCGACGCACGCCTGCATGCGGTCCGTAACTCACTAAGAGTGCTGGTAGCAGCGGCACACCGAAGAGTTGCATGGTGGCCTGCGGGCACTGACTGGGTGGGGGCACGTCCCTGTCGCGGGGAGGAGACACGTTGAGCATGCAGGCGTCGGGAGGGTGAGGGGTTTTTCGTCGAAGAGTGGTGGTTGGACGGGTGGAGGTGGCACGCGAGTTTAGACGGACGTCGAGGTTTTACGATTGAATCCATCCGACCGCCACCACCACCGCCGTTGTCGTACAGAGTCTACTACTACTTACCTACGTGGACGATGCACAACGTTGTCATTGAGAACCTTGTCCGTGCGTGAACTATCGCACCTCCATGGGCACCATTTATCGGTCGGTCGCGATGATTGCCTGCATCATCACTGACGTGAATTGCAACCGGATCTCGAGAACAGCTTTCGTTGATTTTTATCGTGGAACGAACACCCGAGAATAGTATAAATTGGCGAATCGCTGAATCGAGGCTTTTAGCAATTTGAATATAATTAGGAATTATAATTTGATATTAGTGTTATTTGTAGCCCCCGTTTTCCCGCGCAACAGATTCTGCGGTAGATTAACGTAGACGTTCGCTGCTGTCGGAGGAAACATAAAATTAGCTTAGCTAAATATACATATAGGGTAATGTAGACGTGCTGTGCCATGTGAACAACCGGAAATTGTGTGCGCTCGTTTACGTTCGTCAAAAACGTGTACAGTCAACAGGCAGCCAACCAAATAATAATGGCAATATCAGCGAACAGTTCACGAACACTGTTCACAAACAGTGCTCGCAAACAGTTCGCGAACTTTTTCCAACTACTAGTCAATCTTTTCATGAACATTGCTCGTAAAAAGTTTGCGCACAGTTTGCATACAGTTTGCGAACAGTTCCAGAACACTTGTAAATATTGTGTTGCGCCAAGCTGTCAGTTTCTTGGGTATAATCAGTTTCTTGTCTGTATTCGTTGTGCACTTGTTATACATGGAAACTCAAAATTTAAAAACAAGTGTTGATAAGATTAATTTAAATTTATAAAAAATTATGAGTACACAAGAACAGGTGTTAGCTTGTGCTGGTTTTATGGTTATTCATCTGTTAACGCAAAAGAAAAAACATAAACGACGTTGGTGGTAGAGAAAATTGTTTCAAAATCGTCAAACATATAGTGTTACAGAATTCTTGGCCGATTTAAGGATAAAGGATCAAAGTGGCTTCAGAAGCTTCAATTTTGAAATGTCCATATTTTAAAAAATTTGTCCCTAATGAAGACCAATAGGACTATATTGTCATTTTTTCAAATTTATAAATAGCGACCCACTATTGTAAAATTGCATTTCTTTAAAACAATTCAAAATAAACGGTTACACATAATTGCCTACATATTTAAATCATTCAAATTTATATTTTTTATAAGTTTCAATTTTTTAATGAATAGCAACTGCACAACTAATACATATACAAAGAACTGACTACTTCCAAGAAATTAACAGACTGGCGCAACAGAATATTTACAAGTGTTCAGGAATTGTTCACGAACTGTACGCAAACTTGTTACGAGCAGTTCGCGAAAAGATCGAGTGGTTCTTTTGTTCGCGAACTGTTTGCGAGCACTATTTGCGAACGGTATTCGTGAACTGTTGGCTGATGAGTACGCATCTCTATATGTTCTTAGGGTTTTAAATTTGTAACGTAATAGCGGTTTCTCCGTCTTTTTAAAATCGATACTACTCGCAGTGTTAATAGAGTTGTCATCGAACTGTTCCTACTGAAAAATACAAATATATCGTTAACTTGTCACGGAGAGAAACATTGTATGCAAATTGTTGTATTCCATACATTATTCTTCGAATAATGTAACGCCTCGCTACAAAATATTCAAATGTTGTTCTTTTCAAAATAATATGAAACCACATATTACGTCATTTTTTATTTGTTTTCTTTTGTTGTTCTGTGGATATTTATAAATGTTTTGTGGACGAATATCTAGAGACTAAATGAGCTACGAAATTTTTCGAATGTTTTACACTTCACCAGACGTAGATAAACATTCAATGGAATTAGGAACATTTACCGCTAAACCATAACAGAAAACGGAGTCCGGATCACGATACTTAACAACGGCACATCGAACAGTTAATTTTCTTTTCCACATGCATATTGTATTTATATTGTATATTTTTATTAATATTACTAGCACTTAAGTATATACTTTTTAATTCAGTAATAACATCGCATAGCGGATTAGGATAAAATCAGATGGTATGATAATTACTGAAAATACCATTTATAACATAATTTATACGGTTTCTTATAGACAGTTGTAAATCACTTTCCTTCATTAAATTAATTAAGTTAAAAATTGCGCGCATTTAGACAATTCTGTTTACATAATGTAGAACGACTATACCAAAGTTGCAAATTGGGAAACACAATCAAAGTAGTATACATACATACATACGTGTCAATGCGCGTGCGAATAGCCTGCATGTCGTAAAACGAGTCTCACCGCGCAAAAACGATGTAATATATGTATACGAGCTTTATATTTAATACCCTCCCTTTCTTGATTTTACATAAATAGTACGTTGCATCCTACCTTCTAGCTTTACAGATAACCGAAGCGTCGTTGATAATCTGATGGGAAATAAAATATTTTATACATCTCTCTCACAGTTTATGGACCCAGGAAGCTGAAGTTTTTATGCCTATCGGGAGATAAATATCGTTACAAATTTCTGCATAAAGCGTTCCCCTTTATCCTAAAACCCGTGTAAATAATGTGCCTGGCCGTTTTGCTTGCCCTCCTTTCCATGAAACGAAATTATAGTTTATCAGCTATACTTGGAAGAAATGTATTCTCATGCGATCCTTCCTGTGGCACATACATACAAATAATACATGTCTACTAATTATAAGAGGAATTATAAAATTTACGGTTGAACACTGCACAATACAATTAGAAGACCATGTATTGCGTGCGGTCGTGCCGCTCGTCAATACCACGTATAAACTCCGAAAAGTTTTTTTAATACTAATACAATTAGGTGTTAACAGCGTTATGTATTTTACAGAAATGATATCAGTTTAACAAACCTATAGCACCTGTTTCGTTTCTTTCGATTGGTGGGTGCAACAGGACCACCCACATTAGCGATTCTTTAATTCGTTTGAGCAATGTAGGTACACTTAGGAGCAAACTCGGCTTCCACTAGGGGAAAAAGTGACGTAGGGAAGGACCTTCAGTTATTTGGTATTCTGGAGAATATTTGAGGAAGAATTATTCTGGAGAATTATTGAAATATATGTCAAATTAACATTCGCTTTGTCATTTATTTTAGTACTTGAAATCAATTTATCATGTGGTAGGAGGCCCTTCTCTTACGCCCTTTTTTTCCCTAGCGGATGCCGAGTTTGCTCGTGAGGGTACAGTAGAACCTCCCTCTCCGCGGGGGATTGGTACCAAGGTTTTCCACGGATAGTAGCGGACCCTATTACATAGGTACTCATATGGTCCAGACATTGATGTGCAAACTCGGTTTCTGCAGAGCAAAATAATTATTTTGAGATATTGATAAAATTATTAATAAATCCATAGAAATAAATGAAGTTTTATTTGAAAATTCAATTTCTGAGTTATGGAAACTGTAAGAATTGTAGAATTTCGTTTTTTCTTGTAGCAGAAGCTGACTACACGTCAGTGTATGTACATATACATATACATACGTACATATTCATATGTTTTATGCATGTACATATTGTACAATTCTTATCATAATATTTTATTTGATTTTTATGCAGACTTCTTAGAGATAGATTACATACTTGTACGCAATTTTTTCCTACCGCGACCAACCGCGGATATTGATTCCGCGGATACGGGGGTCCTACTGTATATCACAATCGTAACTTGATTAGTGTTCTTGTATACCAGATCAGAAAAGTGGACGAAATGTAGAAATATCTGGCTTTATACCGTACAGACAGTCGTCGTTTACGTATAATTGAGACAAGCCGGAGAGTGCTCCGCGTCATTGACGAGGGAAAACTGGGAGTTCTGGGAGAAGTCGTCGAGTTTAGGAGAGTCGCGGGTAGAAGGACGATCGTAAAACGTCCTTGGAGTGGATTCATCGTGCGATAGTCAGCGACAGATACGTGTGCACACGCGATATCCCGGAGGTACTTTACTTGCGGCTGAATTTACTGATTGAACCACGACAACTGTCGTCGTTGCGGTGGAAACAGATTTTACGCGTTCCGGAGATGCCGGGCAACGGCGGCGACCCATGAGTGGGGCAGCTGCACCGAATTGTTTCGAGGTGGCTCGTAAATCCCTCGAAGCGATCGGACTCGAAACAGGTGACTACAAATCGAAGATATCTACGATTTGTAGGTACGGTGTATCGATACATTAACGGAACTAATGGACACATGGCAGTATAAATGACATTATTAATAGGACATTGTTAATTTTGTAAAATATCGTATATGTATAATTTCTGCGATGAACTTATCGTATTAACTAATTTGAATTATTTTACTTGACATAATGTAAGGCAATGTTCAAAGCTATTTTTACGTGATGTACAACAATTATTATCCGAAGGTATGATAGTATTATGTTTACCTAAAACATTCTTATAGAATATGAACGGTATTCCCTCTTTATAGCTATATCGCTGGGGGTTGGCAAGAAGATTGTAGAGAGTAGTGATCACAAATCTGCAAGTGTTCTATTGGTGTGCCGGATTTTATCGTTCTGGTCTACTCTTATTTGTACATTACCAGCCGTCTTTCAATCTGCTGCGCTGATACGACCGAAGACTGAAGACCTATCTACTGGCAGACTGACAGTGTCAGCCAACCGGATGAAGTGGTGGAGATAACAATCTAAGTATAAGAAGGTCCAAAAATGGCGATTGGAGAGAAGGAACTTTGTAATACGAAAATAATAATCATCATTATTAGAAATGCGTTCGTTATTTTTTAAAGTGGTATAATTCCACTTTTCTTCAGTTCGAGA